TGTGTTGATTAAACCCTAACAAATAAGAAAATAATAAAAAGAAATTAGTTTATAAACACAGAAAATGAATATTTTTGTTTAATAATGTCTATTTTATAATTATAACTCAAAAAAGTAACAATATAAAAGTATTTTATAAGACACTATACAAAACTGCTAGGTGACTGGGCGAGGTGAGCCTCCAAGGGCACCTTGTCGCCTAGGTGTCTCCTTTACAACTATGCTCTCAAGTGAAGGGAAATCTAGTTTTGGGTGATGGTGGTGTATTATTTGCAGGTTGTTGATTCTATCAAGAGATTTCCAACAACAAAGTTTAGCACCATATCATTTAACAATGTCAGAAATTATAAAATATCAAACAAGAAAGAAGATTCAGCTTGAGTGGTCTTCAATATCCTATAATAAAAGTTGAAAAAAACCATTCAGACTAACTAGTAGGATCTCCTAGTTGCAACACATTAATTAGTGGCTGATTTTGTTTTCATATGTGCAATAAAATGTCATTTTTCTTAGTTATAGCACCACTTCCATGACTTCCACTTCAGTAATGTTCTTCAGTTCCAGTGGAGCCATTTAAGAGGTTGTTCATAAGATAGACTACTAAATGGGGCATTTGGATTACTTATGTGATTATTGTTTCTGTTTCTGATCGCACAGAGCTAAGGAGGCAGTTAAATCAACTTGATTCTGATGGGCCTGACGACACGCTGACAAGAGAGGAGCCCCGAGAAGTTGAAACGCTTGAGATACAAGATGAGAAACAAGCATACATAAGAGATCTTCTCATTGCTTCTGGTTTATATGATGGACCATTTGATTGCTCTTTTTCGAAGTGGGACTCTCTTGAAAAACCGATTAGCTACTTGATCTTTGAGGAAGTAGAAGAGTCTTACAAAAAAAGGGCCAAGGAGAATGAAGAGGAAACTAGAGATCAGAAGGAAAGCAAGGAAGCCCGCAAGCTGTTATTTGACTTGTTAAATGAAGCACTAGCAACAATACTTGGATCTCTTATGACAACGTCCAGATTTAAGAGAAGGGTTCTTGGTCCCTCTATAATACTGCCATCTTGTGGAAAGAAATTGCTGGGTGCTGCATGGGAAATGATCCATAAACATGTAAATCCTCCAATGGATGGATCCCATTATTCACTTGATGGCATGGTGGCTTGTGATCTAGGGAAAACCCCTTGGTCTGGTATGATGCTTGATGATGTTGATGTAATAGGAAGAGAGATAGAATGGATGATCCTAGGGGAATTGATGGAGGAAACTGTGAGGGATATGTGGTTATATTAATGGTGTAACTGGTTTTCTGTGTAGATAGGTATTCCAACATCGTATCCAGAACCGGAATACTAATGAGTTTTTTTGTTTCATTTTGGAATTGTGTATTATAGTGAATCCTGGTTGTAAATTGATGTTTGTGATATACGGCCCAATATTCCTTTTACAGATTGGGGACTCCGGGCTCCAAATTGCAGGAGCTCATAATACATAACATGTACATGTATTGTTTTTTTAAGCTTATCTGTGACTGTGGCAATGGAGTTGTAAGATTTAGATTATTTTACAACTTTTTTCTTCTTAATAGATCCTGTTGGCTGGCTTGTAGTCTGTTTGTTTGTATTTTGTTCCTTACAAGAACGCCTCTTAGTAGATCCTCCTCTACCGTTACCATCAATGAGATTTGTGCAGATTGAGTTGAGCCAGTAAAAGATCATATAATTTGTCTGGTGCATGAAGCCACCAAAGTTTTGGTGGTGCAGGCTTCATAACATAGATTTAAGTTGTAGAATCATTTAGACACTGCACAAATGAATCTGGGCTTAGGAGAATATTCAGTCTTACCATTACTTGGCAACTTTAATTCCATTACTTGCATATGTATATAGTTATATACTAGTAGGCCTTTCTGATTACAACTTACATAGTTCAGGCTCTGCAGCCTTAGAGTCTGATACTTAGCCTTATTATTATCATTAGTATCTTCCTTGCTAGCTCCTACTTAGTGCTGGGTATTAATAGGAACTCATCTCCCCTGGTGTCTCGGCAGTTATCAGGAAGCACATGTGACACAGGTGCAACCTTGACCACACTTGCAGAAAGCCTTTCCAGAACCAGAGACTTCAGCTTTGGAGCATGAGCAGGGGTTGCAGCCGCAGTGTTCGCCGCAGGAGCAGCACATATGCTGTGTCTCCCGCTCACCCGCACTTGCACTGGAACTACATCTGTTTGCAGAATTGCAGCAGTAGCCATATTAGTATTAGGGCCCTCTTTGTTGTTTTTAAGATTCTAGTGAGGAAAGTCGATCAATAGGATTGTGGTTTTTCACGTTCATGTAAGATTCACAGAAAAAAAATCATTTTTCCTAAGTATCATTTTCTCACTCTCACTCTCCCATATGGATAAATAACTCTGAAGAAAAAATTGATAAAACAGGATAATTTTGTCAATCCTTTTTAACTTTTATGGATAAAAGAATCATTGTATGTTTTTACCTTATAATCAAACCCAAATAAGTGTTATAAAAAAAACAGAGAAACATCTACTGGATGTTTTTTCTATTACACACGTCCATCCATAAATGATCGGACCATGACCTTAGCAACTGCAGAATTCTGAATTCCATGTATTATGATCGGCAGATCCGGACTCTTCATCGACACCATCGGATTTCTATCTTGGCGCAAGTCTAGATGTGACACTTGATGTTCAAGCACATGACGAGATGGATGATGTCAAAATCTCAATCATGAATTATGTTCTGTCATTATCAAGACAAGCCAAGCATCCGGCAAGGATTAGGATGAACCGGTAAAGCAGCATGGGTATATAGATTTTAGCTGGCTGGTCGTCTTCAGACAACCTGTGCTGTCTGGGGGGGTTCTCCTTGCGCAAACCATGTGAATTGGATGCAAGAATAGAAGTGCTGTAGGCGTTGCCGTATTCACTAACGTGTCATGAGGAGAGAGAGAGCCTATATACATCACAAAAACTAACTGATAAATGTGGACAGCCAAAATTATTTTTGGGATAATAGCATATAAGGGTAATTTTTGGGCTTAATATCAATATAATTAATAGTTTTAAAAAAATTTAAAAAATAGATTAACTTTTTAAAAATAATATTAATTAAGGGTAAAATCATTGTTCTTGTTCACCAGTGCCGTTGCCCACATCATTCGTCGCCGTCTGCCGCCGCTCATCACCACCTCCGATAACGCCTCTGCCTATCTCCGCCCACCTCCGCCTCCTAACAACATTGCTGGAGGTGGGCGGAGGCAGAGGCAGCCCTAATGGCCATTCCTTTGCCCAATGCCGCCCGACGGTGGCGGGCGGTGGCACTGGTAAACAGATTGCAGGAAAAAAGAAGATGCGCAGTGATTTTGCGGCCCAAAAGTTGCTCTTATATGCTATTATCCCATGTCAGACGGGGATTTTTTGCCAACAAAACAGGTTCCAAGTTTATCAATATCATCTCACACCATACATCTTAACTTGAGACTGGGACCTATTATATGTATGAGATGTGCCGTGCGGTGTGAGATGATGTGGCAGAGGGTTGAAACGTGTTTTATTGGTAAATGATTCCGTCGAAAATATTAAAATGATAAAATCTAATACTAACCAGGTGTTTGGAATTGATGCCGTTTTTTTTTTTTTCAGAAAACGGCACCACATCATAAATCCATTTTCTTAAAAAACGCCTACTGTTTGGTTACGTCCTTGTCCTTTTGGTGTTTTCCCATTTTTTATTAAGAATGTTAACAATGGTGTGTTGATATGGGATTAAAAAAGGCTTATGTGGCAGCAACAACAATAGTATTAAATAGAAAACCTGAAAAAAAAGTTTCTTTTTAAAAAAATGTTTATACATCACTATTTTCTGAAAAAACACCTAAGAAATAGTATCGATCCCAAACAGCACCTAAAGTTTTTACCAACACTAACACCACAATTTGCCTAAAAGTCATTTGTTCGGATAAATGTATCACCCGGATACTAAAAGACAAACGAAACCTTAATGAAAAGCCCTGCTGACAGCCCAAGCTGTCGAATTTTAAACAGCCGAAAGTGATTTTCATAAGAGAAGATAAGGGCTAAAAGATAGACAGTGAATAATCAAAACTGAAGGATGCAATTGGGAGATGGTAAGAAGGAAGACAGCAGAGACCTGCAAGCATGGCCACCGGGGCAAGGAGAAGCGCAGCCGCACCTGTCGTTACAACTTCCGGCGTTTCCTCCTCTGTCAGCCATTTTTTTTTGTCTTTCGTCTCTCTCGTAGCGTTTTGGTCTTTAAAAAAACACTGCTAGGACTGGTCCAAATTGCCACGTTTTAGTGGTGTAGATTGCTGCTGTTGACACGCCTTACAACAGGTGTAACAGCTCTGGGATAAAAAGTTCAACGTGGCATTAACTTGATGGCAATGGCAACGTGGTGGATTCAGGGTGAGGGTTTTTTGAATTCTACACCTTTTCCACCTCCCAATCCATATACATACCACCACCTTATAAATTTGTATAGTTGTATATACAGCTAGAAATAATGGTGGGATTGGGATTAGAACCCCACCACATACATAGAATGCAAAATCCTTCCTGATACTCCCTTGTATTTGAGGGTAGACCTCCTGTATTTGAAGGTGGAGCAGTTTTATATATATATGCAAGGACAAGCAAAATAACCTCAACAAATATTATTAAACTTAACATATAATACATAAGTTTACATCCCTTACAATAATAATTTATTTATATTTAGCCTAATACTATATTCTACCCACACTCATATGAGTTGTAAAATTTTAAAACCTACCACTACACTAAAATTTATTATTCAAACAAAAATCTACTCCATAGGAAAAATTATGATGGGTACTTGTGTCAGGAGGGTGGAAATTGCTATCTCTAATGATTTATTTGGTTGTCGAGAAATAGTGGGATGAGAAGGGATGGGATGGGAAAAGATGGGATGAAAGAGAAAAAATTATTTTCTCATTTTGACACCCAATGTTTGATTGTTGAGACCAATTATTCTGCAAAATTTGTTTTCTGTTGAGAAAATTTTGCAAGATGCTTAATTTCATTCCGCTTCAACCATCAACAACGGTGGAACATGAACATCCATGGTTTGTCTCCTATATTTTGATGGTCGAATTAAAGGGGTATTGGTTATTAGGTGAATCCAAGGGACGATAATGATATAAGTAATGGACCAAAAGGGGTATTGATGATCAATGATGATGATAGAAGTTTAGCAAGGTTTAGATCTGCAATAATAAATCGTTCTACTTAATAGCAGAGGTTTAATGATAACAAATCTGCAGAGGAGGTTTTAGCATATTTACATTACAAACTTGTTAGATTGTAATGATGACAACAGAGGTTTAAGCAGATCTACCAACATTTGGTTGTCGACTTTGAAAAGCTAAGAAATCAGGAATGGGAAGAAAACCAACAAAGTTTTAGAGAAAAAAAAAATAGTTTACTGGAGAAAAATGGAGCATGGATAGGTCTTACCTTCGTTGGAGATGAAGAATAGTGATTCGACTCTTTGGTAATTGGGGTTCTGAAGCTAAGCTAGGAAGAAAAACAATGAGGTTTTTGAGAAAAAAAAAATACAAAAAGAAAAGGTTCAATGAAAGAAAACCAAGGAGATTCTATGTCTTAACTTCACTGGAAATGAACACCCTATCGATAGGGTTTGAAGTTCCACTTGGAAGATAAAAGATAATGAGTTTTCAGAGGGTTTGATTGTAGGGATGTGAAGCTCAGTTAGGATGACTAGAAGAATGTTCATCTTCGGCATTTTTTCTCACCGACTTCTCATTGTTTTCGTTTCCTAGCGGGGCCTATCTGGTGAGACCCCACATCTCTATCCTATCCCATTGTTTTGATCAAAACAAACAAGAAAAAATAAAAATCTTATACGAATATTCCTATTTTCTCATCCCAGTTGTAGCAATCAAATATACAATTAATTTGACAGGTGATAAAGGCTATAACCTAGGCGGGGCCATCATGTTTGCCTTTATTTTGGTATTGAAATAATCGCCTTCTCCCATAGGGGCCTTAAATCATTTTTTCTTGGCACAATGCATTACTTTTTCAGCAATAATCATATAACTCTTCTCCGAATAATGGTGGGAGACGATTGCAAGGTTTGAAATCACATTTATTTTGGGACTACCTAGTTTACTTACCGAGCCACCACTCATTTCATAGGTTCTAAAACTTTAGTTCAGGCTGTTCAACTTAAAAATTAAATATGGTCTGAAGATTCTGAACCAATGTTTTAAAAAATAACTCGGAATCGGAACTATTCTGTTTACCAGTTTTTGATTCAATGATTTGACCATCCAGTCCGAACAGACGACCCATTATGACAAAATAAATAAAAATAATAATTAAAATTTAAAAACAGCCAAAATCATTGAATAGGTTGAATGGGTCGACAATTCAATTGTTCAGGTCAATGAATCATTGATTGATTCAATGATTTTTGACTAGAGGCCAGATTTAAGATAAAACAGAACTAGTTGCCTGAATAATTTCCAAACCAAATGATCCAATCATTCAAATCAATAACAGTTCAAAAACCATGGCCTGAACTTTCTACGTTTAGGAATTTGGAGTTCAGAAACTATTCCCTTCACTTCCTCTTTTATTTATTTCTTTAAATAATTTTTTCTCCCCATGAATAAAGCATACAAATAGGGGAGATATTCCTGATGCATGTATGACTGCAACATGCTCTATGGTGGGTTCGAGAAATCGAAACTCCCTTTGGAGGGCTGGAGCACACTAGCTTCCACCTTTCTAAGGTAGACCCCACACAGATAGCCTTTAAAGTTTAAGCCATGCTTATTACAAAATCCGAAAAGCCCAAAACAGTTGCCAGTTACTCATTTGAAGAGCTGTTCGTTTCGGCCTCTTAGAAGCTTGTCCCTTCACTGGCACTTCCTCTTTTATTTCTTTCTTTAAATAATTTTTAAGGGTCCAAATAAGCTGTATTTAGTGCCCATTTGGGAGAGATGAAGCATAGTGAATCCTGATCTTTTGAGGTGGATTCCACATGGACAACCAATAAACTATTATTTAGTGAAAATCTGGATAGCCCAAATAGACTGCCAGTCAATCATTTGAGAGCTATTTGCTTCAGTCTTTTTGGTTTCATGGGGTTACACAACGGGGTAGCCCATCCCCCATATATTCCCTTAGCCCCCCAAATCCTAGTGGCAGTGGACTATATATGTCTCTACTACAATTGAGTTAGAGATCCTACTGAGCCACTGTCATTTGGTTTTTTAGCATCTTTGAAAAGCTTATTTAGAGTGTTTCAAAGGAGCTGAGCTGAACTAGCTTAGTTGAAGATTCAGTTAAGCCTTCCCACATGAAATTTTAGTGTTTGTTTGGGAGGGCTGAGCTGAACATTCAGATAAGCTAATTCAGCTTCTTTGAAGCGCTCTGGATAAGCTATTCAAAGATGCTAAAATAGACAACCTAAAAATGACTAATTGACAGCTGATTTGGGCTAAAGGTTGTCTGTATAGGGCCCATCTTATAAAGCTAAAAGCCTTTGCGCTCTCAAATGGGAATAGAAATATTGTTTAAACACTACTCTCTACTTTGCTTAGTAGCTAGATTTTATCGTCCAAATGCATAATTTTATTTGCCGAGTTCA